TCAGGAGAGCTGGACCGTACTGTAAGGGCTTTAGGCCTTTGCATTGGAGGCCACCTCTGCTGCTACCTCCTTCCCTGTCCAAGCCATCTTATCTCGTCACATCTGCAAAGCTGCCGAAACCTCTCTGTCCCTGCCATTGTTCCCCTGGTTTTCCACACCGTGGCCCCCGTGAACTTTTAAAACTTGGGTACTCCTCTGCTCAAAACCTCCACTGGCTTCCAATCTTGATCAGAGAAAAAAAACTTGGCATGCTGACAGGACTCAACCCGGCCCCATTTCCCCCTGTGAGTGGGATCCCCTCTCTCCCTCCAGCACCCTAGCACTGTGGTCACGGTGGCTTTCTCGGGGTGCCTGAAACACACGGGGAGCACTGCCCCCTCTGGCCTGGCTGATCCTTTTGTCTAGAATACAATCGTGCACCGCAAAACAATGTTCCTCCCTCCCACGGAGGCTACACCCGTCTGGGTTTGGGTAAGTGCACTCTGTGATGTTTGTACAAGGATGAAATCGCCTAGTGACGCATTCTTCGGAATGTATCCCCATCCTTAAGTGGTGCGTTGTCCTTTGGCTCCCACCTTTCCCACTTTCGGGCTTTTTATTTAATCCTTAACTTATCCATTCTTCCTTCCCCAACCATTCTGTTTAAAATCCAAGGCCCCTCCCCTTTCCTGAGTTATTTTTCTCCATAACACCAAACATACTGTTTTACTTATACATTTGTTTATCGTCCTTCCGTGAGCATGTAAACTTCCAGAGTGCAGAGGGTTTTGTTTTGCTCTCTGTTTTATCTCCAGCTCCTAGGATAGTACACATACCTGACACATAGTAGGTACTCAATAGTAAATGATCACTGAATGAATAAAGACATTAGTTAACTCTAGATGTGTTCAGAAACAGGAAGTTTTGGGAAAGAGGGGTGCTGCAACCCTGCTTTTATTAGGATCCCTTTGACAATAGAGAGTTGTGGGGAGCAGGGGCGCGCAGGGGGGAGGCGTGGAAACAAGGATGGAAGCCTTCATACCTGCTGGGAGGTCTTTCCAGTAATCTGGGTAAGAGCGGGTTGTAGTTTGGACTAAGGTGATGCCATGGACATGGTAGGAATGATTGGACTCTGGATGCAAACGGAAGACAAGGTTTGCTGATGGACTGTGGCGTGGGAAAGAAAGAGAGAAGTCAAGGTTGACGTCAAGCTTTTGGTCCTGGGTGGAAAAGAGATCTGTCTGGCTCCAACCCAGAGCTCACTGCCTCTCCGAGACCTTAAAGTTTACTGAGTCCTTCCGTGGGTGTGACGCCAGCCTATTGTTTCCTTAATTCCTTACATTTCTTGGAGGCAGATACTATCATAACCCCAGAGCAGAAGCCCAGAGAGGTCAGCCACTTGCCTGAAGTCATGCAGCTGGCAAAAGGCGAGGCTGTGATTCAGGCCAAGTCTGTGCTTTTAGCCTGTACCCACTGCTCCTCTTCACTGTCGGAATTTCTCCGGCTGTAAAATGGGACTAAACTGCCTCTTTTCCTCTGCTATCCCAAACAGAGCCTGGTGGAAATGAAGTGGCTTCTAGGCATTGAGAGCTGGGTTCTCTCAGAGCCACACTTACTAACTGCGGGTGTGAGGTTGTCACTTTTCTATCGGGCCCAGAAAACCTCAGCTAGCTGGAGGTGAGCCCCTATGGGCTGGGGTAAGGCCCCTTGCATCAGACTGCAGGCTGTGGGCCAGTCAGGATGGGAGCAGGGCCCCGAGTCACCGACGGGTGTCTCATTTTATCTGCCATCACCCCCACTGCCCTCGCCACAGATCCTGCTATCAGGCCCACATCCGGGCTTTGTGGCAATCACGGACCTGCTGCCAACCAGGAGTCCAAATAACACCTGCTCTCAGGCTTATGAACAGATCCCAGGCCCTTCTCACCTGTTCCTGGGAGTGAATCTAAAATCCCCGGTCATTGACCCCAGGAAGGCAAATAAAGTCTTGGGCAAATAAAGCCATTTCCTGGGCTCCTGTGTGCTGTTAGGCTGCTGGCACAGGGCATGGCAGGCTTTGGTGCCAGACAGTCCTGGCTCCCTACGCCAACTCAGTACCTGTGGGCTCCGTGACCCTGGACCCTACAGCACCTGAAGAACCTTAGGGCCAATCATTGCTGTGACAAAAGCCTTTGGAATGCTATTATAAGATTAGAGAAAAGACTCTACCTTTGTTCCCTGTTTCCACTGCCCTCTTCCCCTAATCTTGCCATTCAGATCTCAGTTTAAATGTCACCTCCTCAGGGAGGCCCTCCCTGACCACTTAGTCTGAAGCAGGGGTTGGAAACCTTTCTTGTAAAGAGCCAGACAGTAAATATTTCAGTCTGATCTCTATCACAACAACTCCATTCTGCCTGACAGTGGGAAGGACACAGTAGATGATTTAAATGGGTGTGGCTGTGTTCCAATAAAACTGTATGGATACTGAAATTCGAATTATCATTTTCACATGTCACCAAATATTCTTTTGATTTTTTTTTCAACTATTGAAGAATGGGGAAACCATTCTTAGCTAGAGGCCGTGTAAAAGAAGGTGGAGGGCTAGATTGGCCCACCAGGGGCAGCCGACCTTAGTCTAACCTTAAAACAAGAATTTTTGAGGTATTTATCATTATCAGACCTCTTCCCCCTTCTTCCCTCCATCCTTCCCTTCTTTCCTTCCTTCTTTGCTAAGTCTATCGTCCATTCTCCCCTCTAGGATGTAAGTCCCTGAAAGCAGACGGTTTGTCATGCTCCTTTCTTTTTTCTGTTCTTTATCTCTTTTAGTGTTTCTTGAATATTTATTCTGTGCCAGGCAGTGTTCCAAGGACATTATGCTCTGTAATTTATTTAATGCTTACAAAAGCCCCATGAGTTACTCTGATTAGCCCAGTTTTTCAGATGGGGAAGCGGACGTCTTCCTCATGACTCCTTTCCCCGGAGCTTAGAAAACGCTGAAGCTGTCAGCAAAACAGGGGCACCCACAAAGACTTTTTAGTGACCTTGATATGTCCAATATGTTTGTAACGGGAATCAGAGTGGTTACCGTGTGTACCAGTCTAATCAGAGACGCAGAGCCAGCAGGAGGAGTATGTTAAGAGATTTATTGTAAAAAAAAACTGGCCTAAAACAACACGGATTATTTATTATCTTAGAGTTCTTCTGTAGGTTAGAAGTGTTATGGGCGTAAAATCGAGACGCCAGCAGGGCTGCCTGTGTGCCTCCTGGAAGCTCGAGGAAAGAATGTCCTTTCTCGCCTTTTCCAGCTGCTAGAGGCGTCTGCACCCAGTGGCTTGTGGTCCTGTCTTCTCTCTGCAAAGCCAGCGATGGCATCACTTCAGCCTGTGCTCTGGTCGTCACACCTCCCCTGACTCGGACTTTCCTGCCTTCTTCTTTCCTTTGTGAGGAGACTTGGGACTCCACTGAGCCCATCTGGTGTTCTAGAATGACCTCCCCATCTCAAGGTCAACTGAGACTCCCCCTCGTCATGTAATAGAACACATTCACAGGGTTCATGGGTTAGCATGTAGACATCTTTGGGGGGCCATTTCTCTGCCTTCTACACTGTGGGAGAAATCAGTTCTGTGTTGGCCTTCCCTTCATTGCGTTTTGCCATTTAGCATTGTTTCGTATGGATTTGCATATGAAACAATATGGGGAAGAGTTGGGCATAATTTTTAATGTTTTAATTTGGTCCTGGCCACTTAGCAGGTAATAGGCCCTGAAATTACTGGGCAGAAATGAAAGATCTGAGTTTGTTGAATTCAGGGGAGTCAGGTGCAAAAGATACATCTGAGAGAGTTTGCGGGGAAAAAAAAAAAAATACAGATTCCAGCCCCGCCTGGTGAGGCTCAGTTGGTTGAATGCCATCCCACAAAGCAAAATGTCACCAATCTGATTCCTGGTCAGGGCCCCTGCCTGGGTTGTGGGTTTGGTCCCTGGTTGGGGCACATATGAGAGGCAACCGATTGATGATTTCTCTCTCACATCGATGTCTCTCTCCTTCCCTTCTCCTCTCTCTAAAAATAAGTAAATAAAATCTTTTAAAAACAAACAAACACAGCATCTTTGTAAAAAATACAGATTCCAGCCCTATCACAGACCTACTGGATCTCCAGGGTGGGGCCTAGGAACCTGAAGTTTGGGGGCTTTCCAGTTCCCTAGCAGACCCTGTTGGTGACCGCTCATAACCCCTCTGAGGGTCCTCCTGCTGACTCAGAGCTTCTGGTCCGCACAGGACAAGCCAGCTGTGCTGGGGTGTTGACGGCCCCGGAACAGGCCTGGACCAACAACTGGCGGAAGTTGAAGGATGAGCTACCTCTGCCCCCTTGCCCCTTGGATGGAGCAACTCCGAGGTGCATGTTCTAAACAGTTGCCCAGAGTTCCAGCTGCCCATAAGAGTGAGCCCCTTGACACCACATACGTATAGGAAACAGAAACCCAGCACAAGACAGAAGCAACTGGAATTTCCAGATGGCGGTGAAGGGAGATCCCAGGATGACAGCTGCGCACCAGAGGGGGTACCCGGTGAAGATTCCGGCAGGTCCGGAGGCCCCAGGGAGATCTCTCCGAAAAGGTAAGTAAATACCATTTCTGATGTGCTGGGAGGTGTTGAGAGGACCGTTGGGCCATTGGCAAAATGTTCGAAGTTGAACTGAAAACAAATCCTGAGAAAATGAGGTCTGCCAGGGGCGGGGGAGGCCAGCCAGGCAATGATTAACTCGAGGAACATTATGAAGCTGCGCCGGAAAGCAAAGGACATCGTAGTTTACCACCCAGCTCAGCTGTGAATGACATTTACATAGTGACAACTATGTCAACAATAAATATCGATCTCACCAAAATTACAACCATCTTGGGAGGATGGGGCAGGCGGGAAGGGCGTGTGTACATGCTAGGGTCAAGGGTAGGGGAGGGGAGGGGGCAGAACCCTCGCATCCTATAGTGGGAAGGAAGATTATACCGAAAACGGGAAGGTTTAGAGATGGAAATAGAAGCCTGTTATTTAGGGAAATGGAGTTAAATATCAAACAACCAGTTAAAAGAGGTCAAAGTGGGTGTCTCTGGGAAGGGGAGGTGGAAAGAGAGAATGAAGTGGAGATTTCTGTTTTTAGAAAATTTGACTCATTGAGTTATGTGTATGTACAACCTTGATACAAATAAAACCTACAGCCAAAAAAAAAAAAAACCACACACAACTACATAAAGGACAGGAAAAAACATACATGAAAATGTTGTTTTGATAATGGTTGTCTCTGAATTGCGGGTCGTGGGTATTCTTTTTCCTTTTCTTGTTATTGAAATGTTTTCTCTCCTGAAAATGATATACAGCAAGAAATGAGACAAAATAGGACATGTTTTAAAGGGGGAAAGAAAAAAAGGCATGCCCAGGGGCAGCCTGGAAATGAGTGTTTCTGTGTGTCGCCAGGTCTCGAGGTGGGGACAGTGGGAAGAAGACAAAGGTGAAGGGGTGGAGGGCGGGGGAGGAAGCGTTGACAGAGCTCGGTGACTCATGAAACAGGGAGGTGAGGCGGCGTCAAAGACGAAAATACCCAATAGCCATGGCCTTGACTTCCTGTTTTTTAAGATGACAAGCTGGCGTAGTTTTTGACAGGTGACTGGCGGTTGCTGGGTGTTCCCCATGACAGGCAGCGCAGCCCAGGGCTTTGTTCATGGTTTCTGCCGCTTCTGCCCTTACTTGCGGTTCAAGCGTTCACCCATCCCGTTCTTCCCCTGCTCAGAAGCGTCCCATGGCGCCCCATCTTACTGTGGACGAAACCCAGACTCCTCTGAGTGCCCCGCCGGCCCACTCCCGTCCGCCCCCTGCCCTGCAGGGGTCTCGCACCTTCTCTGGTACCTTTCCTACCGCGGCCCAGCTCCCGGGGCTCCCGGCGCTGCTCCCCCGCCTTCTCCCAGAACAGGCGAGCTTGTCCCTACCTCAGGGCCTTTGGGTGTCTCACACTTTAGTTAATAATTGCATTGAACAAATCCTCACGTGGATCTGTGAGTGCTTCAAAGTCGCAGGCACGAGCGTTTCGCTCTTGATCCTCCAGCACGTCCCTCGGACAGTAAACAGACGTCACGTCCAGGCAGGTACCAGGTACCGAGCACCCGGCCGTATGCGGAAGAGGCTGCGCACACTGACCTCGGTATTTGGGTGTGTCTCTTGTTTTCCGTAAATAAGTTCTTCCCGGACACTTGTACCTAGAGACCTTTGCAGGCCTGTCCTATAAAAATACAAAGTCAGCCACATGTCGCTTTAAATGTTCATTTTAAAGAAAGCGCTTTACGGCTTCTCGGTGGCGTGTATCCCAATCACCAGCATCATCCCTCTCGCTGAGCGCTTTTATTGATTCTCCTGGGTCAGACATACCGGCTGTGGAGGACACTGTCAGTTTTCTTACCTCATGCAAAGACCAACAGGGAAGTTCCCCCGTCTTTCCAAGTAGGGGAAAATTACAAAAATCCTAAATGCAGGCCCGAAAATTAGTCACTCTCATCTGCGGATTTCATCCCAGGAAAGGGCCGGAGCGCTGCCTTGGCAACGGAGTGTGGAGGTTAAGGCCATCGGCCTGGAAGCCGGATTCCCTGCGTCTGAATCCCAGCTTAGCTACCTATCGCTGTGCGACCTTGGCTAAATCACTCCGCCTCTCTCTGTCTCAGTTTCTCCACCTGTAAAATGGGGTTAATAATACAACTTATCACTCAGAACTGTTGTTAGGATAAAATGAATTAATAAATAGCGAGCAACTATCATATGTAAGTACTCAATAAACCTTAGCTATTGCTGTTGAATTAAAATATATAATGAATGTGCTGTAGCATTTAAATATGTGCCTATGCAGTGATAAAAAGTCTATGAGATAATTTATAAAATATTCTAAAATTATGACTGCTTTTCTGTACTGTATGAATTTTTTTAATAATTATAAGCCAATATTACTTTTGTAATTAGAAAAAATTTTAAGTTAATTCCATCTGGGGTTGGGAGCTTAATAAACAACTCTGTCCTCAATGAATTGTTTGCCTGTCCTCACCTTCGTGTGTTTGAGGACTGCTTTTGCCTGGGGAATTCTTGCCAAAACACAAAGCCACCTGTGTTTGCTCAAGTCCTGTCCTTGTGAATCAGGGCGAGCCTGTGAAAGGCCGGGTGGGTCCCCCTTCCCCTGCCCTACTCTGGGAGGCAGGAAAGTAGATACTGACCCACCCACCCCCTGGTTCATTTGGCTGTTCATTTCCCCCACAGTCATTCAACAAGGTTTGCGAGACAAACATGGCCCATCCAACCAGCAGAAATCCACACATCCATCTCGAAGATAGAAGCAGACTCATATCTGTTACCCTGGAAAGATGTCTGTAATTTAATTGTTTTTAAAAAAAGATTTTATTTATTTATTTTTAGAGAAAGGAGAAGGGAGGGAGAAAGAGAGGGAGAGAAACATCTATGTGCGAAAGATACACAGATCAGTTGTCACTGGCACACTCCCAGCTGGAGACCTGGCCCCAAACCCAGGCATGTGCCCTGACTGGGAATTGACCCAATGACCTTTCTGTTTGCAGGCCGGCACCCAATCCATTGAGCCACACCTGCCAGAGCTAGAAAATAAGTATTGAATTCTAAAAATAAGTATTACCATGGAAAGATGTTTGTGATCATACCGCTCAGTTAAAACAAACAAACTAACTACATTTATTCTAAACATAAGTATTGAATACCTAACCACTCTGTTCAAGGCCCAGGGGACACAGCAGTGATAAGCAGAGAAAAACCCTGCCCTCGGAGAGCTGACATTCCAGAAGAAGAGACAGACAGTGCAAAGAAAACAAAGTAAATTAATTCAGACAATGAAAAATGCTGTAACGCAAGAGATGGGGTGGAGGTGGAACCATGTAGATGGGGTGGTCCCAGAAGGCCTCTCAAGGAGGTGGCACTTGAGGATGTACAGTGTGATCCCAGTTTTGTAAAAATATTCTTCTGTGTTTGTCTGTTTATCATAAGCTAGAGAATAAGGAGTCCTCACCAGACTGTTTGCACTTTAACTCCAGATGCTTCTGGAGTTCTTTTCTATGCACTAGTCTGGGCAAAATTCTTGGCTAAGCAAGGTCCTGCCGTCAGAGGACTGTCTCCTTCTCTGATTTCCCCCTCGCTCAGGTTAGGCTGGACTCTGAACTCATCAATGCAAGGAACAGAAGCTCAAAGTAGTCTAAAGGAAAATTGGGTCACGTGAGGTAAAGTCTAGTGATACAGCTGGTTTAGGCACGGCTAGATCCAGGAGCTCAACAGTGCCAGTAGGCCTCTGCCCTTCTTCATCTCCCATTTCTGCTTTCCCTTCTGTTGGCCTCAGTCTCAGGCAGGCTCTTCCCATGTGGTGACCAAGATGGTTGCCAGCAGCTCCCCGATTGTGGTCCTCCCAGCTCAGCAATCCTAGGGAGAAGAGAAAAATGAGAGAAGAGAGCACCCCTTCCCCTGGGAAGACCAGTCAAGTTCTAGAGCTGCCAGTCATTGGTCCAGTTTGAGTCACATGTTTTCCCTGAACCAATCAAATTGGCCTGAGGGGTGTGGCCATTCAGGTGAAGATAATGCATTCACTCCCGGAGCCAGAAGGGAGAGTCTCCCTCACGTGAACCGCATCTGCTGAGGAGGGGGAGAGGCCATCCAACCCTACCGGAAGGCTAAAAAAAGAAGAAAAGCATGATCGGCACAGGTTAAACATTAACTGTTTGCCACACAATAATGACGCTGGATAGGAACACTTATTTCCGTTTTACAGAGTCGAATTGAAGGCCAGCAACTTTTGTAAGGCCAGAGAGCTCATAAGTGGAGAAACTGTTCACTGAAGTCTGTCTGATGCCAAAACGCCTAAATGATGATGATGGTGATTATAGTAATGAGAACTACTATTTGTTGAGCACCTACTGCGTGCTATGCTTTGTAAGCATGATCGCGTTTCATTCTCCCCGAGACCCTTGAGGCAGGTGCGGTGGGCAGCACAGTTGACTCCTTGACATCCATTCCAACCCACTCACAGGCCTGGAACCCAGTTAGTCTAAGCCAATCATAGGAATTACATCCTCTTGCCAGAGATTGGTTCAGGAATGGGCATGTGATCCAAATGTAGCCAATGAGAAGTGAGGAGACTGTTGCCAGGATAGTTGTTCCTCACTGTCCCAGGAGAGGGTCAGGGAGTGACCCTTTTTGCCTACAGGACATGAAAGCAGATGCCTGTAGCCCTGATTGCTCTTGGCAGTCGTCCTACATGCATGAGGGGAACCAGCCTTGGGATGAAGCAACACTGGGCAACAGAACAGGGATGGAAAGAACCTGGGGCCTTGATGATGTCACAAACCTGCCAGCTCCACCACTGTCCCGAGGGGAGGCAGGCTAGCCCATTCTAGTTAAGCCAGTTTGTGTCTTACTAGCTTCTTCTTTTTAGCAAAAAGCACTCTAATGAACTCAGTATGGATATTTTAAATCTTTATTTCACAGATAAGGAAACTGAGGCTCAGAGACATCAAGTGAGTTGCCTAAAATCACACAGCGAGCAGGGCTTGTCTGATTACAAACTCATGAACAGTACAGTTCCCACACAGGAATAACCTTCCTCTGCTAGATGCTTTTTAAGCACAGTGAAGTCGAAGCTTTGTAACTACCCTTCGAAGTAAGTGCTTTTATCATCCCCATTTTGTAGGTCACAGCATCCACAGGGGAAGGGAGGCTGTTTAGCAGAGAGACTTTGGAATCCGAGGATTGCTTGCAGGCTCACAACTCATACATAACGAAGGACAGACAATTGGCAGGTGGAAGCGGTGGGTTGGGGAGTGTGGAATTCCTGGGGGTCACGAAAAGCCAGGATCTCATTTCAATCCTGCTGAAGGGTTGAGCCAGGAAGATTGGCGGAAAGAGCCCCAGAAACTTATGGGTCCTCCCTCAGGATTTACTTTTAATTCATTTTAAATTTCAGTAAGGAAAAAAAAAATTCCACTAGGGACTACATTACCATTTTAGAAAAAATGTTGGAAACATAGGCGTGTAATAAGATAACGTAATTCAGAAATATTACCAATACTTCAGCTGTATAATTATTGGCAATTATGCTTGGTGTTTTCCTATAAACAGAGTAGCTGGGAAAGCCTCTCTGAGGAGGTGGCCTGTGAGCTGAGGCCTGAAGGGTGAGAGGGAGCCTCATGGGAAGAGAGTTCCAGGCGGAGGGAACAGCACATGGGAAGACCCTGAGGTGGGGGTGCAGTTGGCTGAGTGAGGGCACGGGAGAATGGCCAGTGGGGTTCATGAGAAACAGGGGAGTGGGGGGTGGAAGGAGGTGAGGTCAGGGAGGCAGATGCTGGTCAGATCACGCAGGAGGAAGCGGGTTCGAGGCCAGGGAGCTGCTCGTGTGCCCAGCACCCAGGAGGTGAGCCAGTGATATAAGCAGGTTTATTAACCAGCATCAGGCTCCAGGGAGGAAGACAGCGTGGGCGGCACCGCCAGTCGGGCCCGGTGTATTTGCACCGAGTACCCACCCTGTGCCAGGCCCCGCCCGGGGTTCTGGCTTCCAGGGCATTTGCTTTGAAGATCAGAAATTCAGGGGCAGCCAAGGCTATAAAGAGGCATTTTTCCAAAGAGGACACATGACTGGCCATCACATAGATGGAAAGGGCCTCAAGGTCCCTCCAAAGCAGGCCATTCAAGTTCAAACACTTCGAGACGTTTCACAGCCGCGGACTGACCGCAATTTGAAAATCAGAAAACACCGAAGGACAGAAGACTGGTTAACAGCTCAGGCTCCAGAAGCAGCCTCTCTGAGCCCACGCCGTGATGCCATGCTCTGCCGTTCCGGAGTGGGTTGAGGCCAGCTACTTCCCCTCTCCGGCCTCTACGTCTCTGTCTGTCAAAGGAGAATGGTGATTGTCTTTACCTCAAAGTGTCTTGCAGGG